GCTAAGTACATTTGGCCGTTTAAAGCCTGATACAAAAAGAAACTGTCATAAAAATTAAAAATGGAAGTATGTGACAAACCTACTTTAGCCCAAAGACTCAAATATGTTCTGAATTCAGATTATAAAAACATAGCACTCATCAGGTTATAATTTTGCAAACAGTTCTAAAATTAGATTTTTCCTGTTTTTTTTGCTTTTGATACAGAATATATTAAGCACAACAATCAACATGCAGGTTTTTGAAAAAAGCAGTCATTTCTACAGCCAGGGCGATCAATGATTTGACGCTATCGAGTTAAGAGCTGCATGAATTCACCTCAGCAATCAGGAAATCCACATTCTTTTTGACAAACACGTCCAGCTGTTTCTTAAAGATGGCTTTCACTTCCGTCTCGCTCTTGCAGCTCAGGTAGGACGGAGTCTGGGACACGCCTCCAGCTACCAGCGCGTCCCCTTCGTTGGCAACTTCCCTTGCCAGGTCACAAGCAGCCTCGTTGATTTGTGCTCCCTGGAAAAAAGGAAACAGATTATCACCTTTACTGCTTGCTGAAAAGATGTATTTGGAGCATTGAGTTGCTGTCCTTGGACACCTACCGTGATTTTCAGTGCCTGACCCCTGTTCTCCAGTTTGTCATCGCTGGCGTAGAAGGTGAAGGCCTGCATGACGTTGGCTCCTGCCCTGAGGAACTCCCTGTGCAGCTGTCGCACTGATACAAAAAGCATGTCCTGTCACCTTAATGTGAACATGTGAGATTAAATTTGGATTAAATGCAAGATTGAAACTGTCATACCAGCTTCGGGGTGAGTGACAGTAGCCTCGGGAGTCCAAGGCCCAGCTTTGACGTAGCCCCGTTTCTCCAGAGCAAACACAAAACCTCCATCGCCGATGACAATGTCTCCGGCATTCAGACGCTCCAGGACGCCCTACATGAGAAGAAAGATCTATTTAATCTGGGTTTAATACTTTAGAAAAATGCATTGGTCTCCTTTCTTACATCTCAATGAAAAAAAACAATAAAAAAAACATATTTTATTCAGGACAGAATAAAATATGTTCTTTCAAAAGCAGAAAGAACAGAAATTGATGCTTTGCATGAATTGGTTGAGAACTGATCAAAAATCATTGTGCAATCGCAAAAATGTAACCAGATGTGCCTCTGGGGTACAAAGGTGCAAAGATAAGGCTGTTTTTGTCTTTTGCCATTTTCGACAAAACAGATGGACACAGTTCAATATTTTTTTTAAAAAAGCTGCATGAACACCTTCCCAGTAACAGCACAGACGAATGAAAATCCACCTCCAGCAGTTTCTGTACATGAACCCATTTTCAATCTGTGTGATGCATCAGGGAAATCTCTGCAGAGTGTGTGTTACCTTCTTGGTTGGTGCCATCTTCGTCCCGTCTCGGTCGCAGCACAAAGCACTTGGTAACAGCGAACCCCTCAGCTGACCTGATGAGTACCAGAAGCTGCTCCTCTCCTCTTTTATATACCAGCAGGATGAATGGGAGGATTTCAGCCCGGTGCTAAATTTACGTCAAATTTACGTTCAAACATGTCTGTTTGAACGTTGTGCAACGCGGCCAAGCCCACTGATCAATGGAGATGGTTTAGGTTGAATTAGTTCACTGAGGCAGCAGAGAAAGGATCTATGATAGAAAGACAGGTGAGCCTGTGCAGTGGTCAGTCCAGAAAAATAATATTGCTGGTTTAGGATTTCCACTGAGTCCAGCTGAGCTTTGAAAACCCAAAAAGTGATTCTGTGTTCATGTGTAAGGGATAAAAGGATGTTCCAGGTTCTGCTTAACAGAACATGAAATCCTTATTATGCAACCACCTGCATTAATGATTCTCATTTACACAAAGCTAAGAGAATGAAGTCGCTCCATGTAAAATCTCCAGCATATATGTTTGTAATCTATTCAAAAAACCCAAGGATATTAAAGCAGGTTCCTTTCATCCGAGTTCCCCGGGGAAAGAACAGTCTGTGTTGTTTCAGGGTTGCGCTGCTTCTCAGCTGCAGTCCTTTGGAAATGTTTGGCAGTGTGTGTGTGTGTGTGTGTGTGTGTGCACTGTGCTGCAAAACCCTGAAAAGCAAAAAAAGGTAAGAAAAACAAAAAGAATAAATCTGTTTTTCTTTGTGTTTTTATTTTTTTTTTATGTATTACAGAGTTTCCCCCTCCAATTTCCCAAGTAGAAATAATTTATTGTTTTCATTCCTTTGCATTAATATTTTATTTTAATTTGTTGCCTTGTTCCTTATTATGATTTTAAATCTAAAAAAAAAACAAAACAAAAAACAAACAAAAAAACAAACAATATTGAAGATTTAAGTCTCCATACACACTTTTTGAATGGAGTGCTAAGTGATGATAGTTAACTTTTATTTTAATTCATGCAGAAATTAGCCAGTCTTTTGACTGCAAACTTCAACTGCAGTCAAAATAAAGACATGACTAAAAAACTTTAAACATTTAGATGATTGCATAAAAATATTCTGCTTTTTTGTAGTTGCTAGAAGAACCTCCGACCTCAGATTAGGTTTATTTCAGATTGAAGACCTCAGCTGCATGTGGATTATTACATCTCTCCAGTTTAACCATTAACACCTTATTTTTTTTTGCCACTGTCTTTCATGCCTGTCATATTTGCTTTATACACAGCTCACAAAACCCACACATATGCGCACACACACACACACACACACACACACACACACACACACACCCACTCACACTATGAGATACGGCTGATCAATGACCTTCGGCGGAGCGGTTTAGTGTGTGCAGTGCTGGGTTGATCCAGTTTCAGGGGGAACGTTACAGTCAGGCCTTCTTCTTGTGTTTATCAACAGAGTCAAAGTTCAGGAAACTGCCTTTAAACTCCAGTTCATTGCAAGATTTATGCAAAAGTTTGTTGGAGTGTGGAACAAGTGCAGCCAGACAGAAATGTGTTGCAATGTAGGGACAGATTCTGGGACTAATTTGAGAATATTGAGATAAATAATAAAGTTATTGTTGTTTGGAGATGGAAGGAAAATGTTTTTCTGTTCCTTTTTATTTTAATTTGCCAGAAAAGGGACATCACTGTGACCAAAGAACACAGCAGACATGTCCGGGAGAGAGATGTGGGGTTTAGATTAAAGTTTAAAGCAACTCTCATTTCAAGCTCAGGCTTCTTTTATCTGATCACTACTGAATTCAGAATCTATTTCTGAAAATATAAAGAACATTTATATTCGGACTGACATAAAATCCTGATGAAATACTTTGAATTTTGGGTCCTTAAATATGATAAAATGTGTAAACACCTGTGCAAGGCGCTGCCCATAAACCAGTTGCTGTAAATATATTGTCACTTCATTCACGAAGGAGTGTCATGTTTACAGAAAGTTGTAGTATTTTTACATACAAAGACAATACTAAACTCTCCCAACTCCAGCCTCAGCAAGTTCCCTTTGATTGACTGTTTGTCTGGCTTAGTGTTTGTATTTAAGAGCAGAAATAGTTCATGTGTGTGTCAAGGACACTCTACTAAAAGTGATTTCTAATCTCAAGGAGTTTTTATCCTGGTTACATAAAGGTTGCTACTTTGGTGCAGATTTACCTCCATGGTGGAAGAGACCCCAGCTCCAGGTATAACAATGTGGACAGCTTGTCCACATTACGTCCCAGTGACTTGATGCAACATATGATAAAGTTTAGATTGACTGAGCTTTCTCTCTCCCCCTCATGGGACTGATTAACCCATCGTTGCCCCTCAGCTCCTTCACCTCTTCCCCTCATCCTATGTTACAAATTGTACAGAAGTTGTATATTACAGGGTATCTTCAGCTCTGTTCTCAGAAATGTATCTACAGAGTGCATGCCTTCTATACCCTATTTCTTTTTGAGTTATTCCTGCTGTTGCAGCGCCGGCCTGTGCTGACTTACGTTTTCCTCGTGTTGCTATGACCAGCTGCTGCAGGTTGAGACTGGAACTGTGGCCGTCTGCGTAATTTCGGTGGCCAAAGGCTGAAGGGGAGTCAGGAAAGGAGAGGAACAGGTGATTGACTTGGGGGAGTAAATCCTGACATTGGGTAACAAGTGGAGGGCTTGTGATGTGAAGAAAGACAGAAGGAGGGAAGCTAGCTAGAGGAAAAAAAACACTTTGGGTGGCATTAAGCTGGAAGAAAACAGAGAACAAAACCGACGGTTTGCAAGTTGCAGCAGAGATAATTTTGGCTAACTATTGACTCCTCATGAACTGATCAAGAGTTGGACTTATTTCATGTTCCTCTGGTGGGGTGGCAACATAACTGTAATGGTAAAACAAAACAAAAAAAAGTTGCAATGCCAACTTTGATCTCCATTTTGCATGATTCAACATCTTGGTACTGTAATTATAACATAAGCCAACAATTAGACATATTAATTTCCTGCATATTTTTTATGTTCTTGACTGAAATGAAATAAAACACATAAGAAGTAAAATGAAAATGTGTTGAGTCCTACAGAGCTGTGACTACCACCTCATGGTCTCCAGAGGCACAGCTCCTCTCTCTGAAACTCCACCTCATTCTCTGGTCCAATCGTGGCTCAAGTTTTAGAACTCCATCTAACATTGTAACATATATGGATAACAGTATAGGGTTCATAGTAACACATAAGGTTAAATCACTGAAAAAAAAACACTATGTGACAGGGTGAAGTTACTGCAGCGATTCAGACGTGTGTCATATCTCCCCAATGTTGTTAGAAAATATTTCTATTAAATTAAAAGTGGAACATATTGAAGTGCAATTCCACCTTTGGACACAGGAGGGACCCACAACACACTTTCATACAAAGATGAGGATCAACACTGTCCTCCTGGTCAAATTGTAAAATCATTGACTTGACCATTGTTAATAAATGTGAATGATGATTTTAGCTGTTTACATGTTTCTTTATCTCCAGCCTTCAGAGAAATATCATTGTTAAAACCATAAAAATTATAAGAAATGTAAAAAAAAAAAAGTACAAATGTTGTCAGAAAGCATTTCTTTTTTGCACATAATGCAAAAGTCCATCCATTTTCTTCACACCCTTGTCCCTTAGTGGGGTCAGGAGGGGTGCTGGTGCCTATCTCCAGTTGCACCTAGGGGCAATTTGGAGAGGCCAATTAACCTGACAGTCATGTTTTTGGACTATGGGAGGAAACCCACAGGGAGAACATGCAAACTCCATGCAGAAAGACTGGGAATTGAACCCAGAACCTTCTTACTGCAAGGCAACAGCTCTACCAACTGCGCCACTGTGCAGCCTTAATGCAAAAGTCAATTAATTAATTGAACCTTTTTACACTTTGGATCACTTGACAGTGCAGCATGATTGTGAAGTGGAAGAAAACCGATAAAGAGTTAAAATAGAAAGAAGAACATTTTTCAAAGTGCAGTATGTACCGTACTTTCCGGACTATAGTGCACACCTTACTATAAGCCGCACCTACAAAAAAAAAAAAAAAAAAACTGGAAAAGTACATATATAAGCCCCATGGTTCACAGCGTAGGGAAAAAGTAGCAGCTTATAGTCCGAAGAATACGGTATTTGTATTCAAACTCCTGTGTTTTACTTACTGGAACCTACAAGTCATTTGAGGTATGTCTCCCAGCTTTGCATACGCAGATTAAAATATATACATTTGAAATATTTTTCTTTCTAAAATCCTAGAAGTTCATGCCCAGTCCGTTAGGACAGAGTACATCTGAGAAAATCAATAATCAAGCCTAATCAAAGATTCTTAACTGGATTTAGGTCTGAACTCTCTGCCAAGCTTTAATATGCTTTGATGGAGACTAATTTAATTCTGGCTGTTTATGTTCAGGGTATTTGCAAAACCTCAAGTCAGTGTTAAGCTTCTCTGACCCTGCTGAAGAAAAGCATCATGCTGCCACCACCATATTTCACCGATTCATCGTTTCTCCCCACAGAGAGTTTTGGATTAGGGTTCAAAATAAAAGATCATCATCTTCTACATGTTTACTGTGTCTCCCACATGACCTGTGACAAACTGCAGACAGGATTTATTATGACTGAGTTTCAACAGGTGCTTTCTTTTTACTTTTTGTCCACAAAGGCCAGATTTACGCCAAACTGTTGTTCTTCACCGTTACTCCAGACTTACCTTGAGTCTTTTGCCTCTCTCTCTCATTATTGCTCTGTGGTTTCTCAGTTGAGCTCTAAGAAGTTTGCTGTTATGCTTTTGTATTTACATTCATGGGTGAGTTCTCTGTAAATTGTTGAATATAAAGCTTAAGATATTGCTTTATATTTTATGATCTTAAGATGTAATTAAAATTTTTGTCATAGCGTGAGAAAAAATGTGAAAAAGACCAAAAAGTTTATTTTTTGCCATTTAGCCCAAATGGCATATGACGGTGTTTGAAAGTATTTGAGTAATTTTGAGCCACACTATGAGCATTTTGTAAAGTACATATTGTAAAATGTTTGTGTTTGTTACACCAAATAAAAACAATTTTGGTTATGAAACTGACCTAAAGCAGAAAAAACTTTAGTTTGGCTTAATGTTGGACATTGAGAGGGAAGAATCTTTTTATAGTGTGTTAAATATCTAGATTTAACTGCATATTTAACATCACCTAAACAATCTAAAAGTTGCTTTTCATTGTAACAAAGCAACCGTGCAGCTTTTCATCCCTCTATAGTGAAAGGACACCATTGATGTAAAATATACACTTAATCTGCGTTTTGCCAAAACATGCTTTAAACCCTCCCATTAACTTCACCATTAAGCTGCGTGGCTCAGCAAAAGGCTTAGCTGGCATGATGTCATGATCTGTGTTTCTGTGCATTTATTTTGAGGTTTTTCTGTGTTCATTAGCCTGTTCCCCTGTGAGTCTCTGTCTTCCCTGTTTGATCCCAGCTGTGTCTCGTTTCTTTGATTTCCCTCCCGGTGTATTTAGTCCCACCTGTTGTCTTTGTCTCTTGTCGGATCCTCGTCGTGTTTACGTCGGAAGTCAGTTGTTGTCTCACATTCTGCTCTCCGGTCGAACTGTTAAGTCCTGGTTAGCGTCCGGTAATTAGCTACCGGTAATTAGCTGTGCGCTAAACTCTCTGCCGTGCGCTAAACTCTCTCTGCCGTGCGCTAAACTCTCTCTGCTGTGCGCTAAACTCTCTGCAGTGCTGCCTGTGTTGGACTGTTTACAGCTTTTCATCATTAAAATCATTTCCTTCACGACCTGGGTCTCTGCGTTCATTCCTCACCACCTCCCACAAACCACAATTCATGACACGTGACTTGTCATCACTTGAACGTATACAGAAATATCTGCAGGGAAATGAAAGGTTAAACAGGGCCGACTCATTTATGCTGTTAGGAGCTTTCTTCCAAGGTGGTGTGGATTTTTTTTTTTTTTTGTGCGCCTGTAAAAATCATAAAGCTTAAAATCAACATCAAAAGACAAACTATCTGGTGTGAAGATAACTAAAATCACTTATGACATGGAAAAATGTCTTATAAGTAAATAATCAACTAGTGGAATTAATACTTAGTTTTTATTAATATTAAGACATTTTAACTTAAAACAAGCTCCCATATCTCGCTGAAAATCTACTTGTTAGTTTTGTCTTATTTCAAGTGTCCTAAAGTAGTTGCACTAGAAATAGATTTCATATTTTTGCAGTGTACCACATTTTTTATTTTTTTTTAAACTGAAACAAAATAAGTCTGAACATTTTACATGTAGGAATCTAAATCCATTTTGTACTTGGATGTTTGAGAAAAAAAAAAGTTGCCCCAAAGTGAAACAAAGTCAAACTGTCTTGGAAATAGAGGTTTTAGCTTTTGTTTGACCAATTTTAACTGAAAGTGACCAAAAATGGTAAATCAGTTTTCAGCATCAGAAGCATAAACGTTAACCTTAAATAACATTATGAACTTTTGGAGCACGATTATGAAAATCTGTGTTGCTGACTTAATGTTCTTTCTTTTTCCTGGGAATGAGTTTTTCTTCTGTTTGTTAGCAACCATGGGTGAGTTTTCCAAATAAGACTCGTGAAGTTGCTTCCATCCAAAAGTTGTATATATTTTGGCAAAGCAAACAGCAGTGAGACATTACTGATGCCTCTCATGTCTGAAAGCCTTACATGATGTTATGAGAACACTTCTAGTGTTTAAAGTCATGCTTCATGTCTGTAGGTTGAGTCATAGAGCAGAGGTTGTTCAAGATGTCAGAATGTTTAAATACTTTTCAAAATTACATGTAAGTTTATGTTTCCGCATGAGAGACTTTATGAGTCAGATTCAGATCAAATTCTTCTATGTCGTTCCTATTTTGCATCCTTATTTCTGACCCCTATTTCAGTACAGAGTTGTGAAGTGGTTGGAAATGTTCCCAAACAAATTTGGAGTGGATTTTTTTCCCTTCACAAAGGCCACATATACTTCAAATCAGAGTGATTTAAACACCCAGGTAAGACGAAGTCCTGCAAGGTAACAGTGCTACCAGTTTGACTCTGCCCCAATTTGTGTTCCCCACCTTAACAGTAAGCAGAGGATATATGATATCGATATGCATCATGTCTTGTGTCAGGTCAAAACCTGATTCTTTTAAAACTCTGTACAAGAGCAAGAAACTTGTTTGAAACTTTATATATAAAAATAACTGCCAAAGTACAAAGAAAAATGTTTAAAGACCTTGACAAAACACATCCATCCACTGTACCTGCTTATCTTTGCAGAGTCGCAGCAGGGTTGGTACCCGTTTCCAGCAGTCATTGGGCATGAAGTAGACCTGCAGACCTCAAGCTTTCACTTCTGTGAACTGGACAGAACCTTTAACCTTTCAAAAGCTTTATAATAATACAATTACAAGGTACAAAAAAAACAAACAAACAAAAAAATTGCACCAGCCCTTCTTTCCACACACACACACACACACACACACACACACACACACACACACACACACACACACATCTAATTGCATTAACTCACACTCCAGGAAAAGTGGGACTTCCTCCTGCAGCCGCTAACCATCAAACCAAGTTGTCTCTCCCAGTGTCTCACAAGCTCTGTCTGCATTTCCCATGGAGTTGCCCTGCAGCCGAGAGCATCTTCATGTCTCAGAATGCTGCCATGACCGCACTTTACTATTTACAGAATGCGCTTTCTCCCACAGTGTTCTCACCAACAAGTCACTCAGAGATAGCGGCGGCGTGGAGAGACGATGTCCTGGAAAAGAGGCCAGCTAAATGATACAGTGCCACAGAGGCAACACACTACTGAGGCATCATCTGAGTGACGGGAGGTGTTGGTTTCAGCCTGGAAGAATGCGTGGAGGTCGTTGGTCTGCGTTTAAAACAACTCCCACTCTAACCGGAAACGGGGAGCTGGCGCGAACAGACTGGGAAGAGCAGCCATTGGGCTTTATTTGTAGGTTGTGCGCTTGCTAAATAACGCAAAGAGTGTGCAGCAGGAATGCAGCCAAATGGCAGTGTGGTTGTGTTTGAGTGGCAAAGTCGCAAACACAAACCAAAATGCGGGGAGAGCAAAGAAGAAATAGTGCATTATAATTAAAATGAGAAATGCACAGAAAGCTTAAAGGAGCTGAGCGAGGCACTGAAACTTGCATTTGTTTTTTCAGAGTAGCAAAAACTAATCTGGAAGTGCATTGAGCTAAACTAAACTGAAATAAGGTACAGATGTTTGAAATAAATTATACTTTTCTAATCCCACATTTGAAAACGAGTTCAAACGTTATTGATACTTGATCAGCCTCCTACAGATGATAGTTTAATTTCTTTTTTTTGGAAACATTTGAACATTTTCCTGTTGACTGTTGACAGTCAACAGGAAAACACTTTATTCCTAATTACATCTTAAATGTCTAAAAAAAAATTATCTTGCAATATATCAGCAGGCTTGGTTTTTCCGTTTACTATTTGTGAGATTATGTCCTTTGCATCATAGGTGATGTAGCTTCTTAACACACCTTGTCATGGCTATCACTGATTCGGTTCTTTATACTCAACCTCCTGACTATCGGTGTCTCACCTAAGCTGAGGAATCAAATGAGTGTCTGGAGAAAGACTCATAACATCACAGTCATCAAATGTGCCAGTGGAGGGAGAAGAAAGTGCTTACATGTGTTTTATGGTTTAAAAGTACATCAAAAACAACTGAGTTTGCAGCTCAACAACAAATGGCTCTAAAGTTTTTATGGAAAAAAATAAAACAGCATGTGCACAGTGAAATTTATCACCCTGGTCAGAATGGCAAATTGAAAGCAGAAGAAGTCTAAGAACAGAGCACACCTTTGCCAAAGCTCATAAAGCTGGATTGATGCTAATCTACCACAGGGGATGACATTCCAGCCATGCGCCGGTTCTTTGTTGCCTTGGGGACGTTTTGTACCTGCTATGACAAAAAATAAAAAAATAAAATCATTTGAAGTAATTATCTTTAATCTACGTATGGTGTAGTTAAAGAAAATGTAGTTATGTGACTTCATCCAGTCATCGTCTGTGCCAACTTTGTACATGCAAACTTCATGCAGAAGGACGACAGGCCAGGACACAAACCCAGGACCTTGTTGTTGCTAAGCAACAGTGACACCAGTTAGTGACCATAATAAATATTTTCCACCAGCAAGAGATGATCATAATCTCTCACTTTTGGCTTCATCTTCATCTGGTTTCATGAGAGTCGACAAAAGGATCAGAGTCACAATCAAGAATAATATCATAACATTAAATATTCAAGTAATAATACTCAAAACAAATTTAATTTAAGATTAATAGATGCTTTTTGAAAACTTTAATTCTATAAAAATACTTAACTACTTTATTACTAGAAGAAATTTATTTATAAGCAAGAGGTATTGCACTCTCACCAGATCTTTTTAACACCAGATCTTTTGTGAGCCATAAGGCCATAAGATGTTGAAAAAATACATTTAAATCGCCGCATTACCAACAACAACAACAACTCAGTTTTGATGAGAATCCCTTAAGTGTATGAATATAACGTTAATAAAATATGTTACACTGTTATAAGGATTTCAAGCTGAAATTATTTAAGAATTTTGTCTGAATTTTTTTTAGAAACCATTGTAAAACAATTGTTCTGCTAAATTCTAACACTATTTTTTTTGTTTGTTTTTTTGCTCTTTCAAAGGACTATCAGTATTTTGAAGTGGAATTCCTTTACAGAAATTCAAATCTCTTGCTGCTATTACATGTTTGATCTCCTCCATCCAAATTGTGACTTAAAGACGGCTGAATGCAAGCAAAGTTTACTTAATTTACCCCTATTTTACGCTCAGTTCTGATGTTTTAGTTCTTTTTTCAAACCCCTATACGTATCTGCAGCTGCACAGAAACATTTCTTCTTCTTTTTCTCTGTCGGACGAGGTGGGGGATGGGCGAAGGTAACAGGAGGAAGGAGGGGAGTAACAAAACGACGTCAGAAAGCTGTGGGATGTCTTTTTGAAAATGAGAAGGAAAGAGAACAGTCCTGAAGAAAGGAGAGGCACTGAATGAATGTTTGAGAAAGCTGGGCCGCCTCCAGGAAACGGACCCGCACCGTTAGAACTCCTTTTTGCCTGCAATGAGTCCTGGATTCATGTAAGTAGAAAACAATGCAACGAGGAAATATTTCAACTCTCACAGAGGAATCCTGTGGATTTTTATGAATGAAACTGGAGTTGAAGAGCTCATCTCTCAGACTTTATCTTCATTCAAATCATGCTTTCATTTCCAGGAACAAGGTTCACTGAAGTCTTTATGCTTCATTTCATCCTTCCTCAATGAGAACGACGTTGCTATTTAGCAGGAGAAATAAAAAAAAAAAGTGGTTAAAAGTGAGGTAACTGTGTGTACAGATGACTGCTGTCACTTAGTTTAGATTCAACATGTGGAAGCAGTCAGACGTCTCATCACCGTGCCGCTAGGTTCACAGGAAAACAACTGGACTGTTTTTACTTCTTAATCTGTCCTCCACTCAGCAGCCCCTCTCTCTGCAACCACAACCTCATGTCCTTGAAGTGCAGGGAGGAGGTCCAGCTACGCTGCAGCCACCCAACATGCTGTGTGCGTACTGTGCTAGCTGAGGAGGGAAGTGGTACCACTTCACAAGCTTAAACAGAGCCAGAAACCTCTGCAGTGTTTATACAAGGGCAAACTTCAGCAAAAATGATGACAGATTTTCATCCTTCCTCTAATGAAAGAGATGATCAAATAGTTAAGCTACGTTTAAAAGTGCATTAACAGCTATACATCATCAGTGGATTCCAGGACTTGTCTTAGGTTGCAGTCATGTTGTTGATTACTTTAGTGACTGCCCTGACACGTCGAGCTTTTCCCAAAATTAGTTTTGACAGGAGCAGAACCGGGACTGACTAGTCCACACAGTGAAAAAATGTGCAAAGCTTTTTAACAATGTTGTAAGACTATGAAAATATTAAAGTATGTCCACTGATCAATCCTAATTTTTACCTTGAGAATGATTGCGAGGTTTTGGTAAACTGCTTGTTCTGCATTGAAGAGCAAGACTCCAACAAAAGAGCTTCAGGAACTTGTAAGTGCGTCACTTTGGCTGCACCTCAGAACAAGTTCAACAAAATAAAAAAAAACTACTTCAACTATTGTTCTGCAGCTGGGTTTAGAAGCAGCTTCAAACAGACATTAACACATTAGAGGAGGTCTAGAAACATGTAAGTAGGATATTTTTCCTATGTCAAAAAATAAAATATGCTTAAAAATGAGGCTTGTATTTTTAAAGTATGTGGTTCTTTTTGCTCAGGAGAGTCTTTCAAGCTCCTCTGATTCCTTGGTAGTAATTTTTCCTTTGCAGTCAAAACACCTTTAAAGATAAGATAGGTAGGGGAAAATGTTCCTGAAGTTTGTCATAGCAACAGGTCTTCGTTTTATGAGAAGTGTGTGGCTGGAAAGTGAGAGCAGGCGAGGTGGGATGGAGCAGTGGAAGTTTGCTCAAAATATGTTCTTGAACCTACATCCCAAATTTAAGTTAAAGCTCTGGATTATAGTCACTGTAATTAAAAAAATATATATATATATATACAATCTTGAAACAACTCATCAAAAAAAGGGGGTCAAAGTTTTCCCAACTCGGATCCATGTCAAGTGGAAGCTGCAAAGTTATTATGACTTCAATATGACAGAGTTAGCTGATGATGTGTGTGTCTAATCTGAAAAATACGCTGCTCTGCACAATCTGATACAGATAATCTGTTTAGGATGTCGCACAACAACTTATCTCTTGTTTGAAGCAATGAAGACTTTAGGAATCTAGGGAAAAAATACCACAGCTCACATGATGTCATTGTTTTGAAAAGAAGGAAACGTTCAAAACACGTTTGGTTATTTGAGAGTTTCTGAGTTAAAAGGAAGTTTCTGTTGGCGATGATCTTTTTAAAGTGTCAGCATAATCTCAACCGTTGACTTCTGTGACAGAATGATTCTGGATTAGTGTCATCATCTAAAAACCAATTAACTGGCTGAGGATGCATGTTAAACGTGAATCTTTGTTGTTGGCCGGTTAAAATGTGAGCAGCACAGCTCCTCCACATGACTTCCTGGGGACATTACTGAAAATAAAATCTGACAAAAAGGCCAATAAGAGACATTGGGAGGTAAGTTTGCAAAAAAAAAAAAAATGCATTGATCAAAAATTCAGAATTAATTTTTTCCTTTTCTCGATGAGCGGTGTGTTGGGATTTGTCTGCCTAGCCGACTTGTTTAAACGGTGCCTATTGGCAGCTTCGGCTCAAGATTTATGGCAGATGAAACATCTGCATCAAGTTGATTCTTGGATAAGAGAGTGTATTTTAAAAAAAAATAAACAGAAAGTCTTAACATTTATTTTTCTTCTTTTAGAAAAAAGTTTCAAAACTTACAAAGGTGTTTTGGAAATAGTGGGACTGACACAAAGTTTGGGTGGGAGCTGAAGGGTTGGGATGTGAAATGATGGCGTGGATCCTGGGTAAACAGTTGCAGAAGGCCAGGATCTCAGCAGACGAACAGCGATTTACTGGCACATGCACACAAATAAACACATAAATGAGGCTGGCCGACAGTGTTCTCTGGGGAAGTCGTGCGTTTGGATGTAATCTTGTGTCGGATGGGTTAGCACGCATGGCACCTTTCACAGTTTATGTTTGTGAATTCGTCTCATTATAGTTGCTTACGTGTTTTGGTGTTCTTTGCGGCGTCAGATTGGGTAAACAAACACGGCTCTTCATTCGTAGGAGAGTCAGAGCTGCTGAGATTACTTTACTTTAGCAGTCTGGGAATAATGTTTATTGGCTATTCACAGCCTGAGCTGTTTCACAGAGTTTAAATCAGGGTATGCAAAATAAATCTAACTAATGTCAGGAGCACTGGAAAAGTATTTAATAAGCTCATCACTTGCAGGCCGACGTTCTGAGAAGCAGCATGTGCTAGAAGCCCATTCATGGGAAAATCTTCTGCTGTTGCAATTCTTTCATTTCATGTTTATGAAAAGCAACAAAAGAGGCGACTCACATGGTTATGGTTTGCCAGAGAGTCTTCTTGAATTTCATTGCATATGGCACGACCAACGAGCAATAACTCGTCGCTTTGTTTATTCTCCAGCTTTACTGTAACTCTTTTGCATTTTCCCTTACATTTGTTCTTAGGTTCAAAGTCAGCAAAACCAAAAGTAAGTGCTCCCTGAGGGTAGATGATTAAGTGTGGTGTTTATTAGCCCTGGGTGTGATTTCCATCTGTATTTTGTTTAGTTTCATACAACATAATGAAGAACCCACTGCAGTGAACCCCGTTGAAAACCTCCTGGTTATATTCCACCAAATATTGATTTCTGAACTCTTCCTGAGTTAAAACATTAGTATTGTTCCTAAATGAATATGAACTTGTTTTCTTTGCATTATTTGAGGTCTGAAAGCTCTGCATCTTTTTCATTATTTTGATTATTCCTCTGCAAATAAATACTAAATTTTTGCTTGGAATTTCGGAGGTATGTTATCAGTATTTCATAGAATAAAAGAACAATGTTCATTTTACTCAAACATATAATCTATAAAGAGTAAGATGAGAGAAAATGATCACTTTAAGTGGTCTCTTAATTTTTCCCAGAGCTGTACGAGATGTGATGAATGTACAAGTCAACTCTGCAGGACTCAAGTCTCTCTGTTCTTCTGGGTTTTACGTTCCTGCTCTGTCAGAACAGAGTCCTGATGAGGTCATGGGAAGGAAGCCTGTCTTCAGATGTTAACTAGAAGTTTAGGTGTTCCCAAAGTGTGGCCGCTGATTGAGTTTTGTTTCTTTAGTTTCCCTCACTTCATGTGGAGCTCAGCTGTTTGCATCCCTTCATAAGGGAGGAACTCGCTCTGTCCTGTCTGATCCTGTCCTACTGGTGTTATGTCATGTGGTGTTTTTATGGTTCTTGGAAAGATGATGAAGATAGGCCCTCTTTAGTGGCCTGTGATTTGCTGACTGTCCCCCGACATGTCGTTCGAGTTGCAGAAGGAGGAACAGATTTTTTATGTTAGTTTTGGTTTGAGGGGTTTTTCTTTAGGCTGGTCCAGATGCTTGACCAGACCGTAGCTGCAGCAGCTCAGGGAACGGATTGCTTTGGTTTGAGGTTTCTGGTTCAGGACCTGCAGCTTGAAGAGGGAAATACAGGACACAGTCTCCGTAGACTATATAATGGAAATGGATCTGGATGAAAAAGGTACAATTCCTTTAACAGGAAGTCATATCTCTTAATATTTTCATTATTCTGTGAAGTAACAACCACAAACATCAGAATGTTTTATTGGGATGAATAAAGGGTCAGCAACCTTTACAACTAAAAGAACCAGTTTGCCCTAGAATCTACTTAGTAAGATGTAGACATGCAAAACCTCCTAGACCAATCTTTTGAGATAGATAACTTATCAAAATTTAAATTTGCATTTGTTTAAAAACCCCATTAAAACCAAGTATGGTTTTCTTACTTCAATAACCTTAAATCCTAATAAACAGACTGAAGTCTGTTGTTGTAAAGTGAAGGAGCGCGGACGAGTCCAAGCGGATGCAGGGCGCCGCGTCCTAACAGACGCTGTGAACTGGAAACATTTTTTGTCCATGAATAGAGTTGTTTTTCTCCGGCTCCTCATGAATGTCTCCTTCGTTGAACAGTCTGACTCTGCAGTGCTTTATCCCCCTCAGCCACCAGCCTTTAAGTTGTCCTTTGCTTTCAGCGCCATAATAAGTGTCCTCCTATCATTACCTCAGCACCTTGGCATGCTATCAGCCCTGTTTCTGATATCTCACACCATTTACTCCTGATTAACTCTTCAGCTGCTTCCTCAAGCTAACAGCCGGCTGATAGACACAAACAGGCCTTCGGATTTTCTGTTTTGTCTCAGGCTTTTGCTGAAACTGATGTTTTGGTTTAGCTGAAGGAATTTTTACAGCAACGCAGACTTTCTGGCCACACGGTTGGCTGTTGGTATATCGGGTTGTGTGTGTGTGTATGTGTGTGTGTTGTTCATTTCCGCTTGCTAAAAGACTTTTGAGAAAACCGTGTGAGTTTGTTTTCAGTCTTGTGCTGCTTGGATATTATTCTGCATGGCAGACTTGGTGTCTGACGGCAGCAGGACCATATCAGATGGAAAACTAGCTTCTATCTGGAAGTGCATCTCCTGTAACATCAGCCAAACTCAGCATCATGGAGGATCATTTCAATGCATGCAAGACGCCAGAACCTGTCACTGTTTGAGGTGGTACATATCTACAACACAAGCAGCACATCCAGTAAGAAAGATCAAGCAGTTTGAGGATACAGACACAGAACGCAACCACAACTGCGTGTTTGAAATGGATCATAACTTCAAGAGTCTGTTTTACTGTGAAGTGTAAAATCCCTCTTCAGTAAACACAAAGAGAAACTAACCTTCATCAGTGAACTGCATGTTCTCCAGAAGTTTTCTCAACAGCCGGCAAACAAGCGGAAATTTTTCATCCGTCTCAGGATGTCGTGACCTTTTCTGCGCACTTAAACAAACTCCTGCACATTACTCATACAACTCTGTAACATCTTGTACACAACGCTAAGTAAGCTTTAACATGGATCAGTTCCTCAAGTGGTTTTATGGCTTTTATGACAATATTTGCATCTCTTTAAGTAAACACGGTTCCAGCATCAGGATAATGGACATGTTCAAAATAAATGAATCACGTCCAAATTTACTGCGGCTCAAGCCCGGCACATACTGCCGTTTCAAAAATCGCAAGGGACTCGAAAGTGTCGCACTGCAGCATGTTCAATATGATACAGCCTTGAAATCTGTTCATACTGCGAGACAGAAGATGCCAGAAGTCTCGACCGCTGGAGCTGAATCAGAGTCAATAGATGGACATCTAAAATGGAGAAATGGCTTGAGCAGGTGTCTGTTCCTGCATGACTATCGCCAAAGAAACTCTGGAAATTTTGGTTGATGCCCATGACACATAATAACCACAAACTATTGATTCAAGTTCACAATAAGAGACCTTCTTACAGTTCTTTAATGACAGAAATGTGTCTTCAAAGATTGTCTGTAATTGTAATGAATTAAGCGAAGGAAAAAAAACAAACAATAAATTTACTGGTACTGTAAGTTTTATGCCCTTCTTCCAAATAGTAACATACACTTACTAACCACACAAAGGTGCAAAGAACACCTTGTTCCAATAAAACACCTTTGGGATGTGTTGGAATGAAAAAAATTCACTTAGTTATCATACGTGTTGAGGTTATGCAGGACAGGATGGTGCCCTTATTTCCTTCAGTAAAAAAGTGTTTTTATAAACTCCAACAGAATAACAAAGTGTGACAACAAGTTTAGGTTTCAGATGAATCTGCCTGGCTTTGTTCTCAATCCTCGTTCCAAAAACACAAAATAAACTTTTGCACATATTTCTTTGTAACACCCCTTTCAGGTGGATTAAAGGTTTCGTTAACCTTTGAATGTTTTCTTTAAATGAGAGCCACAATGGGATACGAATGAGACAATTTCCTGTAATATCTACACCAAAGGAGCCTGCTAATTGCCTTCCAAAAATGTATTTTATGGCTCCATCTGTGTAGTTGGAAGTGGAGGAGCCGCTAATTTGTGGGCACTGTAGACTTAACAGAGAGCACTGAGCTCTGTTTGAATAAACTATGATCAGCAGCAAACTAAAGACTCAAGCTGCGCAAGGTAAACTCGTAATCCCATTGAAGTTCAGGTTCACGAAGAAAAAAAAAAAGCAATTTACCGACTGCTCATTGCTAGCCTGGACTGTGTTTTTGCTGTTGTGTGAAACCAGTATTGTAAAGGGGAAACGGACAAGAATTAGAACAGCCACAGAGCGTGGAAAGGCCTAAAATAAACAGTAGCAGTAAGGAGCACTCCCGAAATTGTTCCGAACCACATAAACACAGCTCGGATGCCCGATTATACTGTCACTCCAGCTTTTTATTGTGGACTATAACTGTATGCCTTGTTGAATCCTCCTGTAGACTGTAGAGAGCTGACTGGAGGAATGACGGTTTAGATCAGAAGGACGTTTAAGAGCCGATTCGTCCTCAGAGGGGGAGACACTGATGCTTCCTGGTTGCTTCCTGTTTATTCCTGCTGTTTCCGTCATGACAAACGATGTACGTTGACGAAGCTGCTTCTCACGTATCCTGTAGCTGTAGCTGGTCTTCGCTTAAACGTACTCCCGCTGTTTATCGCCAAGCTGGCTGGGTAATTATATGTAGACACTAGACTGTGTATTTTAGCTGGGGTTTCATATAATCTCTAATTAGGAGTGGGAAAACAAGTTGAATGTGAAGCGCCGTGAAGTCCGTGATATTCAGCTTAAGACAAAGCGTAGACACTGTGGACAAAGCCGAATCCTGATGATGTGAATCACAACCACACCTGAAGCTCCATACCTGGATCTCTGATGCTGACTGACTTCGCCATTGTGACCTCATTTGTGTTTTTTTTGTTTTGTTTTGTATTTTTGCTTTCTAGTCAGTCTTGTGTTTAGATGAATCATCAAGTCTCCTTTTCAACATACAAGCGATAACACTATCATTTTGTGACCCGTGAAATTTCTGAGGCGGATTCTCTACAAGTGACTCAGAGCTTATCAAGAAATATAAAGCAGCGCTGTTCATTCCTAGCGCGGTTGAGAGATTTACCATCTTAAACTGGAATTTTGCTTGTGGTGTTGTTATCTGAAACCTCTGGCAAGGCAGAAAGAGAGATCTCTAAATTCTGGTGAAAGTTTTTCTGCTGAAACTTTTACCAAAAGAAGGATGAGACATTAAGTAAGGGATAAGAATGACATTAATAAGATTATTCCTCTCTATTTGGAGAGTTTTGGACTCTGAAAGAGTCATGTTGTCATGTCTCAGATCTTACATTTTCCTCAACCGTCAAGGTGGATTCTACGATGTCGAGCTAATTAGTCCCCGTTGCAGAAAGCCATACTATGATGTTCCTTTCCTTGAATGCGACATTAGGTTTATGTCCTCTGTTCTGATAATTCAGTTTTAGACTCATCTGTTCAAAGAATTTTGTTCCAGAAGTCCAGATTACTTCCTTGTTGCCGGAAAACGTTCATCTGACCTTTATATTATTCTCAGAGAGTAAAGGGTTTTGACCTTGCTTAAACTTTTCCAGTTTTTTTGTGATATGCATTATGCCCATGATATAATATGCAAATAAGATAAGTTTAGCAATGCGGACCAACTGCAGCTTTAGGAATTGATATTTACTGAGATGTCTCCTGACTCCCGACCAGCGAAATTAGGCAAAGACAACCAGGCAGTTTGTAAACCAGACAATAAACATTTTTATTGTTTATGTCATCATGACGAATCTGTGAAATCAGAGAAACTATTCGACTCCCGCAGGACGATGACTGTGGCGAGGCCACAGCAGCTAAATCATAACGGCAGCAGAACAAGTACTTTCTGTGGTCCAGTGACTCATCTGTAAATAAACACAAGCTGTTGTCACACAGGAAGACTCAGATGAACAAAACTCATCATTTATAGCATTTATTAGATGTAACTTAAACACTCGGCTCTACTTACGTTGCATCTGCCATTGCAGGATGGATCGGGCCTGTTTTTCTGTTGCAGTCAGATGGCGTGTTGCTGCAGAGCTCTGCGCTGATTGGTGCTGACAGCTGCTCACACAAGGCTCCTGTTGTTTCTCAGTTCAAATCCAGCTCACTGAGGTCTAAGAATAAATTATGATAGTGTAAACTCTGCCATCTCCCGACGTTATGTGTGTGTGTGTGTGTGTGTGTGATTCATTATGACTGTGAACCATCTGGGAGTGATGCTCATGTTACGCTCACAGCTGGCTGACAGAATCTGAAGTAGGATGAGTCTGAGCTGGTAGCAGGGAGACGAACTGGACGTCCTGGGGACCAATGATTAAACACTCGATGATTCATAGTGAACGGGAAAATAACTGAGTGACCTTTTGATGTTTCTCTGCTTCTTTTTTCTCCAGAGCCACGACTAAAGGAAGCTGCGTCAGAGCTTTGTTGCTTTTGGGGATGACCAGCGTGTTGGCTCGCTTCAGAGAGGAGGAACACACTGAAAAGGAGAAGTGACCGGGGGGACCGACATCTGCTCCGAGAGGATAAGATCTGCAGTCCATCTGGATTTAAACCAGGAACTTCTCTTAACTTTCTGTGGAGACGGAGAGGATTTCTTTGGAAACCTAAAGACCTCATTTCAGCTTTGGACTCAGAGCTGAAGCCATGTGTCATGTCATTGTAACGTGCCGCTCCATGCTGTGGACCCTGCTCAGCATCGTGGTGGCCTTCGCGGAGCTGGTCGCCTTCATGAGTCCTGATTGGCTGGTGAAACCCCTTCTGACTGATAATGATGTGACACAGACAAAAGCGAATGACAGGGAGTCCCTCGGCCTCTACAGCCGCTGCAAACGTATCGGGGGAGAGATCAGCTGCGGGAATTACGCAGGGACATTCGGGGAAGTGGGCAGTAAATTCTGGCAGGCCGCCATGTTGTTTCTGGCAGCCGGGATGCTGGTGCTCGGGTGTGTGGCCTGCATCTCCGTCTTCACGCTGTGCTTTCAGAGCATCAAGAAGAAGAGCATATTCAACATCTGTGGGCTGCTCCAGGCCATTGGAGGTAAAGAAGATGTGTTGGTTCTTTTAAATTTAGCCGTTTGTCTAAATATTCCACACAAACTGTGCCCTGAATGAATTTAGCATATTGTAAGATGTAAATAGAAAATGTTGGTTAGAAAAAAAAAATACTTCAGTATAATGAGAAGTTTTAAAACAAAAATGAAAATCATGATCTACAATCTAATCAGAAATCGTCCTGCTACTGCTACATAATATATTGATTATCACAACTGCAGTATTCTATGAAGATATATATTTTTTATTATATAAATACTTGACCCAAGCATACAACAACAAAACCCTATTTTTCATTTTTGACCAATAATGTTTCTTTTTTCTGTTGTTGTGTGTTTTATTTTCTGTTCTGGTATTATTCACACAAGAAAATCCTCCATTTTAACTATTCATGAGCAACCTGGAACAGTGGTTTCCAAAAAATGTAACTTCCAACTTTATGTCTGGTAAACCAATCAGATATAGCGTAAACTCAAATAGCTTCAATTGAATAACAGATTATTTGCAGATTAATAGTATATGAAAAAATATATTTTTGTTATTAACTTTGATTTCTGTTGATTTCTGACTCCCAGTGGAGTCCTCTGCAAAGCAAAGACACAGTTTCTTATGAATAATAAAAATGTTTTTTGAGTCATGGAAGCAACACAACCACAATCTCTGCCAGGTTTCATTTTGTAATGTTTACTTGTGATATTATTCAGTTCACGGATTTCAGACTTTGCCCAGAATTGATCAATTGATCACTTTAAGGTGCTGAATAGTTTTAGTATAAAATTCCAAAATGTAATTTTTTTTAACAAAGCATGACTATAATATAATATATAATAATATAACACAATAATAAAAAAAACTATAATCATAAAAAAGTCAGATTGACTTAAATAGAAAATAAAAACATTTATCTCTATATCACTTTTGTGTGAAGTAATGTTTTGTTCAATAATGTGTCATTATAGCAAGACTCACACTCAACTGACCAGAATCAGAAACATATCAAACATTTAATCTTTTCAGTGATTCGTATGTTCTGGATTCATCTATGCAAAGTTTCAAGATTGTAAAGAGAAACTGAAGAAGCAGAAATGCTAAATGTCATAAATGCAGCTTTTCAGCAGAGACCATGTAGCCTCTCTGTTGCACTCTGTGCATCGAGCTGGCAGGAAGTTTCGCTGCTGTAACTCTGCAAGCTGTAATATTTGATTTCACAACCCAGTTGCACTGCACTTCTCAGAGGGGGGAAGTCTAATATTAGAATCTCTTCACACCTCTTTGTAAGCAAAAATGAATTTCTACATGTGTCTGTGCTGTAAAAGATTTGCACAGCAATGAAAGGTGGGATTAAACTTAGTTTTTGTTATCACAAATCAAACATTTGCCGGCCATGGAATAGATGCTATCGCAACTAGAGTTGAGGCAACATGTTCCAATCTGCACTTTTTTAATCATGACAGTCATCTAAGGAATGAACGAAGCCAGTCATCTCACTGTCTGCTTTGTCCCCACAGGTCTGCTGCTAATAGTGGGGCTGATGCTGTATCCCACAGGCTGGGGGTCAGAGAAGGTGACGACGTTCTGCGGCTCGGAGGCCTCGGCCTTCAGGCCGGCGGGTTGCTCCCTCGGCTGGGCGTTCTACACAGCGATAGGAGGAACGCTGGGGACTTTCCTGTGCTCTGTCCTGTCCGCGCAGGCCGAGATCGCCACTTCCAGCGATAAGGTTCAGGAGGAGATCGAGGAGGGGAAAAGCCTTATCTGCCTGTTGTGAGCCTCAAGGAAGCTCCAGGAAGAGCAGGAAATCGGCTTTGGTCAAATTTTTAGGATGTGCACACTTGTACAAATGAATGAAAGGAAGACAAGGACTTCCCTGAGGGGTTTTCCTTTCTGGATGGTCCAGATAAAAAGAGCGTTAAAAGGAAAGCAGCCTGTGAAAAGTGGGGAAATTTATATTTTTCTATATTCTTAGGTTACATTTTTAAATGTTTTCTAGTGCAGGAGGTAACGGATCTCTTTTTTTTTTGTACAAAAATACTTTTAAATTTTTTTTATAGAAAATCTTACCTACAAGAGACCACTAGAATGGAAAAGGAGAAAATTAAAGAACGGTTGTGTTACTCTAAAGGCAAGTGTAATGGATGTTCATATAAAATAACAAACCACAAGCAGATTATGATTATTATTAGCTATTAAAAAAAATTCACTTTATTTTTCTTAAACAGGGATGTTTAACTGAGATCCTATGTCTCTTCTGGCAGGAAGTCATGGTTTAGATTATTAGGAAAACGATACTTAACAACAGCTGGCAAATGATCTGTGTGTTTAATTTGTGAGGATTTGACATGTTGACTTGTTTTACATGTTAATTTGTATGTATGAATTCTCAGCAGAATGGCAACTGATAGTTTCTGCAGAATAAGCTTCACTCACCAAATGTTTGCTACTATTGATTCAGCTTTTGACACATATATGCATCATTTTGGTCACCTTTCAGTCTCCTTTGCTTGGAGTGGATGCCTCTTTCACGTCTTGGTATTTTCAGAGTACTCCTGTATCAAATAGCACCTTTTACTGCATTTTGCACTTAATCTTTAGCTCATTACATAAAGCTGCAGACTTCATTTAAGTGTTTTTAGATTTGTTCCACACTCCAGATTTTACTGTAATTCTAGTAATTAATCTTTTGCTGTGCTTTTATAAATCCAATGTGTGTCTGATGTGCAATAAAAGTATGTTACTGACTGATTGGGCTGAATGAAATTAAAAGTGAAATTAACTTGCTTCAAAGAGGATCTCTAGTGTTTCTCATGGTTTCTATTTTGTTACATTAACAAAAGAAAAGCAGAAAGTGTGACGTAACAGAGTGGTGTATGAAAAGATATCATTTGTTCCTACATTTTGTTTATTTTGTAAAATAAAAATTGAAAGCTTGTAAGCTCCAATTTGTCTCCTACTCATATTTTTCTGAGAAGACACGGACACCTAGTGACAGAAAATGGTTACTACAAGACCACAGACAGTTTTTATATCAGAATCTCAGTCCGTCTTCTGTTCTCTTATTAAAGCGTTAATACAAATATCAGTGTGCATTCACTGAATACATTTCAAGTCAGATTTGCTTTTACAGTTTGACATGTAATCAGTATTCAGATTTAGAATCAACCAAGTATTTTAGTTTCGCTTAATTTTCAAGCAAAACTAAATCAAACTTTTCACATCTGTAAGCAGCTTGAGGAATAAACCACAGGACAAAAACGAGGAGGGACTGAAAACACCAATTGATTTGGAAAAAAGATTAACTAATGAGTGAAGATAAAATCCAAGGTGTGTGTGTCTGTGTGCATTATTAAACTCATATTACACTAAAATGACATCAAAACGTGACTTCTTTCAAATTTTATTTCATGTTAATACCATAAATATACAAAACTGAAACTATTTCACATGCGACAAAAGCCAGACAGGAGTGCATTAACGGGTTTTTTTTTTTTCCTTTTTTACACGTGATCGATAATGAGGATTAAACTTTACAAAATATACAGGTGTCCCTTTTCCCCTCTGATTCTGTCGAATAACACTACCACAGGCCAGAAAACACTGTTTTGTGTCAGCAGACTTCAAAAACACACAGTTCTGTACAGCAGAACCAGCTCGCCAAATACATCAAAAAAATCTACCCACTGTGGCAAGGCTTCGTAGAACGACTTCAAAAGTATAAATACATGGTCATCATGTGGGTGTATGCAGCAGAGTAGTGTAATAACTTAAGGTAAAACTGAAGGGTGCACATCACAAAGCAGGATTTGGAAAAACATTTCTATGCACATTTGGTAGTTTCTCACAGCTTTTCAGGACATAAAATAACACTTGAGGGATTTTAATTCTTCCATACAAAGTCATTTACACTCCCTCTCATAATACACACACACACACACACACACACACACACACACACACACACACACACACACACACACGTGTTTTCAGAGCTTTCTGCAGCCTAGTCGTCGCGTTAACCATGTCATTACAAAAAACCAAAACACACGCAGACAAAATTGCAAACAACTTAAATAAAATAAATACAAACATGATTTTCACTAACTTTGATGTAAAAACAAGACATGTGTAACGTATTAAAATAAAAAACAACTCCAAATAAAAGCAATACCACCAAGATTTAAGCTTATTATTTCAGGAAGTATCCTTTACTTTCTAACATTTACTTTTGGGAGTATTTAATGTTTAGCACAGCAGTTTTATCATTCATGTATCATGCACATCGTCAGACAGTCATGTTCACTACGTGAAGTGCTTCGGCACAACAAAAAAAGAAAAAAACCCAAACACATCCATATTTCACTTCAGTGACAGTAGTCTGTACAACTTTAGTGTGAATAAATTAACGTGTGTTGGTGATAGCACTGAGTGTGCGTCCAGTTCAGTCCCCTGTTCCTTCGGTATTTATTTTGGGTACACATTTCCTGGAGCCAGTAATTCCCTACAGCCAGAGGAAAACCAGTTGAAATGACAGCCGCTGTTAGCCCATGTAGTGTACATGTACACAGTTTCAAGTTTTTTTTTTTCCTTTTTAACATATGTGCAGGTTAGTCTCAAGAAATAATAATAAAAAAAAAAGTCTCCTGAGAGAAAAGGCATTTCAGTTCTCTCCACGTGTGTATTTTGTTTCTTTTCGAACAGGAAACAGGACAGCGAGAGCCCAACATCAAGCGGCTCTGAGGTTAATAGCAGCGTTAGTTTTTCCAACAAGTGAGAACAGCTACAAAAACAACTGAGAGGGAGTCACATAGTGTGCTAATGAGTTAATGCCATTCATAAATGAAAGGGAACATCGGTTTTTGTTACGTTTTTTCCCCACTTTGAATACACCAGGCTGTTAAAGTCGGGACTTGAGTCACTCCCCACCCCCTCCTCCAAACCAGCAACATGTGAAGCCTGAAAAAAGGCAACGAAGTTAAAGTGTGTGCCAAGCACGCTTGTTGCTATCATGCTGGATAATCTTAAGCTGCTGAATCAGCCCAAGAAAAAGAGCACACAGAACAGAACAGAGATGAGACGTATACCTGGGGGATTGTTCAACTATTATAAGAATATGAACCCATTTTTCCATAATGAGAACGTTATCATCTTGCTACATTTAGCACAGATACGAGACGGAGTAAACTGTACCTTTAAGTCCTAAATGTTACAAAAAAAAAGGATGAAAGAAAAGCGATTAATGTATCACTGCATCGCACCGACGTCCTGTTATTAAAAAACAACAACAACCAAAAAACAAAAACTAAACTATGTGCAAACAGACTCTTAACTTCTACACTGAATTCATCAGGCAGGAAGCTGTTCGGAGGTCATCGCCATCGCTAACTATGCAAGAGATGTGACTTCTGCCTGGTCTGGGATCAGCTCACAGGGGACAGCAGGATGAGGGGAGCACAGAAGTGGGTAAGTGTGCAAGATGACGTCACCCCCCCACACACAGCACACAGAGCCCACCTTGAGACAGTCACCTGACTGTAAAGCAGATGGGGTGAATTTTGTAGTGTCTTCACTGATGTCAGGCTTTAGGTGAAGATAAACAACTCTAGTAACTCGTCTGTTATTTAACTTCACACTTTAGGAGATAAATGTGCAGGGGAAACATTCATAAATATACTCTGTTGAATCTGAGAGGCAGCAGGACCAGAGTTGAGCATCTCCATCTTGTTGTTGTGTGTGTTTAGTCAGATGTGTGAGAACGTGTGTGTGTGGCCTTGAACGCGTTTTCGCTTATGGATGAGGCTTGAAGGCGCCGCGGGCGGCGTTGGTCGCAGCGTTGGCGGCAGCGTTGGCGGCTGCGGTCTGGACCGTCTTGTTTGACATGACGCCAGTCGCAAACTCCTGCTGAGCCTTCTCAAAACTGGCACCAGTGGTTCGGTACAACGCATGCACCTGGAAAAGGCAGAAAGGACAATTCGATTCAGCTCGATTATCAGATGTTTGTCGTGCCGCCTGTTATAAAATGAATCTGAGAGCAACAAAGGTGATGATAAACGTGTGTTGTGTCTACGATTTTTCATTTTGAGAGTATTTAGATTATGTGTGTGTTTTTTTTAAAAGCCTTACATTAATAAAAACTTTGATCTAAATAATAATAAAGGGTCTTTTTCATCTACTGACTGTGCAGGTGGGTCAATTTGCAGTATTCTTGAATTGTGGTCACGGGCTGCGCAAAATCATTCTGACGGCTGCAGGCCACACTTTGGACAACAACAGTTTAAAATTCCTCGTTTCTTCTCCACAGATTTCAAATCACTTTCAATTTAAGCTTTTAAAATCTCAGTTGCATGTGTAGAGTCACTCGTCTTACCTGGTGGAAGTAAGGATGTACATTTAAGAAGTATTTTTAAGTGATGGAAGCCATATACAATCCCCATTATGGATAAATTATGAACTTTTTATAAGCTTATGCTTTCTGCTCCTTTTTATTAATGAATTATTTTAGTTGTTCCATGAAGTATTGAGATTTATGACAGAATGAATTAAATATAAAACGTAAAATGACATGAAAATGGTTTATATTTTTCATCACTATCCTGATATTTTACATGTTACAAACAATAACTTTTACACAAGTTTCCCTTTTAACAACGTGTCAAACAATCTGTTACCTTTTTAAACATTATGAGCGAGCCCACGGACAGCGCGGTGAACAGGGCCGCAATCAGTAACATGATGATACCGACTGGGATGCTGGTGTTCAGACCAGTTAGCGCTGCAATCCAGCCACTGGCAAAACAAGAAAAGCGGAGACAGCTTTAAGGAACCAAACGATCACAGAGTGATGGATCCAGCGGCAGCACGAGATACTCACCATGTTCCCCAGCCGGTGATGCCAATAGACTGTAGAACATGGACTCCAAACTGACAAATGTAGACGAAGAAGAAGACGAAGAAGCGGAATGAGCTGTCGCTCCTGAAACGAGAAGATAAGAGTTGCGAGGAAACGGTCACTGATTTGCCATCTACTGCTCCAAAGTCGGGCGGCATAATCTGTCCTCTTGCTGACCTGAAGGCCCCATAGAGCGGTCTGTACCAGCAGACGAAGGAGCACGGGGTGAAGAGCAGAAACCAGAGCATGGACAGGCCAAAATCCACCCCGCGAGTGGCATCCACGATGAACCACGCCAGACAGCCAAACATGTTCACAAAGAGCGTGCCTGCATGAACTGGTACATCACATCGAACAGCTCCGGGTCAAACTTAGTGACAGAGCAGGACAGTAGACTTACAGCGATCAGAAAGGAGTTAAGAGACGTGTCGACTTACACATCCAAAGGTTGTACATGATCTTGACGGTCTTCTGGAACTCAATGGGAATGTCTACAGCAATATCATGATAGAAACACGGACCGACGGGAAACTTCTCTGGTAGCGGAGGCCAGTTGTTCTTGCGGCCTGCATGAGCAAAACAAACAGTGTCTCGATAATTAATCATATTTCATATGAAATATTGTTTATTTTCATGTGGCATATGGATGCTAATTCACAGTGAAAGAGTCAGACCAAATCACTTGTTAAAAATGTAAAAGAAAAAATTAATGCAAGAGATGTGACTAATATTTACAAGGCAGACTTGTCATGGGGCTTTTATGTAAAACAGAATGATCGCAGTCCTACAACACAAACAATTTTTGCTGTAGCTGGTTTTTATTCAGTATACAGCAACATACTTTCAAAACAATACGGATAGCAGAAACACATTAACAGCAACTTTTGTCTCTCTCCATTGCAAACGTTCCGGTTTAAACAAAAGGAAGCGGACGAGTGACAGAAATCTGAATGACCTCCTGTTACTCCGTGGGACTGCAACTCTCTCTCCCGGCGATCAAGCTCTGCAGCTTTCTTCTCCAGCTCCTCCTGCCTTCTCAGCAGCTCCGCCTGAG